ATTTTCCTTTTTGATCATATAAGGTAATCAGAAAGAATTAAAGTATTTTATTTAAAAATTAAGATGAAAAGTTTAGATATGATTAAATCTGGCTCATTACTTGATTTTGTAATAATATATATTGGATTTGGAGCTAATACAATTCTTTTTGATTCTTAATTTATAATCTTACAAAAGCATTTATGTATGATTTATTATTAGAAGTACCAATATGTCAATTTGAAAAGATAGAATCTAATATTTTTTTACCATCAAAGATGTACTTTGATCTCCAAAATTTTTATGTATTATACAAATATATATAATTATTTGATAATATTTATAATAATTTTCATCTTTTTCATGTAAAACTTAAAAAAATTGAGTTATCTAAAAATTTAAACAAATGGATTAAGCATCATCAATTATACAATTTTAAAACTCTTTTTTCAAAGATGATTAATATTTACATCCAATTATATTACAATATTTTACATCTATTACAATCATTCTAAATCTACATAAAGTCTATTTTGCAAAAATAAAGAAGATACTTTTATCGATTATGCAGTATATAACTTATAGTTAGAGTAATAGAAAATTCAATATTAATAATAAAAAAGAAAATGCAGAGCCCTTTTGAAGATAAGGAGGCTTTAGCTGATATCTTTACTTAAGTAAAAGATGTAGATGAACAAATATTTGGTGTCATATTAGAAATATTTAGAAAGGAAAAAGTTTAAGACTGCATTGGATATCTTTCAGATATTGAGAATCATAGACATTTAGAATAATCAATATTTCAACAACTAGAATACTTAAAACAAGTCGATGAGGATTAGAAACTGCATGATGTAAGGAATAAAATCAACAAAATTAAAAATGTCTTTAAAAAATTAAATGATCATGATTTCAATAACAAAGACTTTTCAACCGAAGAAAATTATGAATCTACTCTAAATCTAATTAAAAGAATAAGGGAAGAGGGATAGACCATGAAATTCCTGAAATTTTTAGTTCACCTCAAAGCAATAGATGATCAATTTATCCAATGCGGATCAAATTCACTATACTTATTAGTTGAAATGAAGACAGATTTGACAAAAAAGAATTTTGAAAATATAAAGATTAAAAACACCTAGTTGATTGGAGCTAATTTTTTCAGATGTAATTTGAATGGATCTCATTTGGAAAATGTAGATATAAGTGGAATGAACTTAAATGGTGCCTATTTGTATTATTGTAAATGGAAAAACATAAAAATTAATGAATAAAATATTACTGTTTGTCGGGGGAGAAGTGTCAAATCTGTATGTTTTTCTCCTGATCGCATCCTTTTAAATGATATAAAAACAGGATATTAGGAATTTAAGGTTGATAATCATAGTGATTGGGTGATTTCGGCATTTTTCTCTCCTGATTGCAAAACATTAGCCTCTTGTAGTAAGGATAAGTCTATTTTGTTATGGGATCTTTAGGCTGGATAACAAGTATTGAAATTTGATGGTCATAGTGATTGGGTTTATTCAATTTGTTTCTCTCCTGATGGCACAACATTAGCTTCTTGTAGTAAGGATAAGTCTATTCTTTTATGGGATGTTAAAACAGGAGAATAAAAAGCAAAATTAGATGG